AGGCATTTGAAGGACTCTGTATGCAAAATTGGAATCACGTAATGAAAAAAAGGATCTTTGCCTTCGTCTTCAGGAGGAAAGTGGCTCCATTATGGGCGAACCATTTTCAAGTTGTTCTATTCGGATGACCTCAATCAGTTCGGCACAAGGGCCTTGAACATAGAAAAAAGTACTAAATGCAATCAAAACATATGAATGGAGAGTACACCGAAATCGACCTTTCAGCACTTCATTCAGCATTCAGTTATTTTTTGGTATATAATTGAGCATTCAAAATTTAGAGATGCACGAAAGCTCTTCCCATGTCATCAGAGCGGAGGGAGGGATCACGTGGCAGAGAGCTGATGCCACGTATTCGATGTCATTTCATTCAAAGAAACTAGATGCACACAGTTCGCACATTAAGGACTCCTACACGTTGTTCCATAGCGTACGCTACTTCTAAGGCTAACTCTCTGATCAGCTGATTGCAGGGCTTCCACCGAAACGACTGTGTGGTCCTTGAAGCGTCGCACCTTCGCAACCCTCGAATCTGTCTTCATCATCCCAGCAACCGTGTGCTGTGAGACCACTGCCATGGAAACCCTCTACAACAGGGTGCACTCTAGAAGCCTAGTTATAGGCAAGGCCTGTGCGTTCTTGGGCCACTGCTTTGATCAAGCGGAAACTCAGTATTATGATGAACATTTCTTGATTGCCGATACATCGACGATTGCTTCATAATCTGCTTCATTCAGAGCGAAAGAACAATTGATTTGCCGCAATGAACGAACTTCGATACATGCACTAAAGATGTTAAACACTGCCTTAGAAGTGTGCACGGAAAAGAGAAATGAAGTCAGTTTTCCTGCATGTTTCGCCTGGTCAGACCAGGACTAGAAAACTTGGCATCGGAGTTCGGCACTCTTCCAGCATCATGAACTATTGTTTAGTTCGCAACCATCTTCACGATCACATCTGTAGAATCGCGGACTGTGCAGCTTGCCGGGGACTGTATTGTTGTGAGTGTAACCTGCAAGACTTCTCGTCGACATGTGGAGACGAGTGACCATGATGGGCCACTTCATGCGCGGACCGATGAACACTTTGCGGGCAAAACTATCAGGTCGATAAGTAATGGCGTTTTCTTCTTACACGGACTTTTATATGGTGTAAATTGTTCACATTTATTTAGTGTACATTTATACATGTCATGAGTCATATATATGTTCATTGTGTTCTGTGTCATTTAATATCCCGCATTACAACGTAGTACAACTGTCTTGCTGCTGTTTCTTATTTTTGACGATTTTTATATCATTGAAATGGAGTGACGTGTCGACACAAAGTGAGTTTTCGACAACATCTTTTTGCACCATATCTGGGCTCTCAAATCACAGAAGAAGCTCAAAACCTGCGATGTATGTTACCGAAGGAAAGGTGCTTCTTATGACGACTCGAAGTGTATTCAGGCGATTAGGAATAGGATTATTCAGGCGATTAGGAATTGGATATCGGCATAAAAATGTGCACTGCATAAGACGCCCTCCTGTGGATGGACTGTCTGCAGTACCCATCCACCGAGCTCTGAACCTCTCCCATTAATAGAGGGTTGTTCAGTGACAATTGGGACATTCCGTGACCTCTAATAACTCCTAAGTCGTTGACATAGATCTTCTTGGAATAAGCTGCTCCCGCATGCTCTCTGCGGAACTCAGTAGGGCACTAGGTTCAACGTTTGCCTGTGAAGTCTAAATCAAAAATTTTGAATTGCTTAAACTGTTGTAACAATTTCTAAGGGACATAGCTCTAAGGCCATATACTGAGCAAGTGGAGTTGTGAGCTTTGAGCTTTGTGCAAAAAAGATCGAAAATGCTCAATTTCGTCGACCTGTCACTCCAGTTTGAGCACTTAAAATTGCTGAAAACAGGATCTTTAAAGAAAGTCAGGGGGACTGTGTCATAGAGCAAGGAATTTTCTGCAAAGCGATATAAAAGCTAATAGCAAAACTTCCCACCTTCGAGGCGAAATTTCGAGTGAGAAAAACGCCATTACTCATGGGTCCACAAAATAGATCGAGAGTACTGACTAGGCTACGTTGCCACAGGATGATCCACTCACATACATCCAGATATATAGAGAAAAATTATCTTGCTTTTAACCATTGATCTACCTTTTTGGGATGCCACATGCTTCCATCAAAAATTGTGGTGGCTTATTGAATGTAATGAGGTTTATATAATGACTGATAGGGCGTACAAGTCAGTGTTCTTGTCCCTCTAGACGAATTAGATACCAATTTGCCGTCATGGAAAGGTAGAAGACTTAGCTAACTTAGGTGGGGGCCGCTCCTAGATTTGGTCTCTGATTTGTGGGTAGTGTGCATGCCACTTGTAATTACACCACCTCCGCCTCACCTACATACGCACATTATTTCTTGCTCTCCTTAGCCTTGGCTCGCCGTCGCAGGGTTCGCTGCTCTTGTTGGAAGTCGCCACTTCTTCAAACAACAGCATCTTCTGCCGTGGAGTTCACTTCAGTGAAAAAGGTCCCTCCATCTTTCCTTTGTAGCTCCCCGCGATCGCTTGCCTAGTGATTCGATTTACACTCGGATTTTCTCCAGTCGTCCTCACTACATGACCAAACCATCGCTATCGCTGCTCTCCTGCCAACTGGATCTGAACCGTCTGTGTGACCGCCCTGAAGTCCTCGTTTCTGATTCTGTCACGTGCCCAATCGCAGGCTCATGTTAGCATTCTCATTTCAGCTGAGTGGAGCTGCCTTTTATGATTTTTGCATATGGGTCAGCAGTCACTGTCATAGAGTACCGCAGGTCTAACTACGGCTCGGTACACCTTATCCTTGAGCGTTCTCGAGCGCCATCGCTTGCAGACGATGCTCCTGCCCCCCCCATTCCATCTGAG